TTTCTTGTGCCGAATTGATCACTCTCTGTAGGGCCTTCCTGTCCGCAGCAGTTAAATCAGGAAAGCACCTTTTTCAGTTTTTAGGATGTTCACCTATTCTTCCCTTCAGAGGGAAGCACAAGAAGTAAGGGATGGAAGTTTGTTGAAGAGAGAACTTACCTAGAAGTAAGGAGAATTTTTCTGATGGTGGGAATCATTAATCAATAAAATAACTCACCTTCTGGAGCTGTGAATCCTCCACCACCAGAGGTTCTATTGCACAAGTGATCCAGGGGTGGGTTTCTCACCCCGTTCCAACCGGTTCGGTTGGAACGAGGCTGGCGGTGTCCTCGCGCACGCGTGTGGCGCACACGTGCGCACACGTGGTACACGCATGCGTACTAGCGTCTGTGCAATGCTCCAGCTGCTCCTGGAGGATCGCGCAGGCGCTGTATGCGTCCTGCGCATGCGTGGAAGCGCAGAATTCATCAAAACCAAGTAAGGAGCGGGCGCGGGGGTGCGGGCGCGCGCGGGCGCAGGGGGGGGCCTTCGCCGTTCCCGGAAGTTACTTACTTCCGGGTTCGGCGACCAACCGGTTCGCAGGGACCGCCGCGAACCGGTTGAAACCCACCCCTGGCTCCCACCCACCCCGCCCCCCAATTAGGGCTATCATATTTGGGCTGAAAAAAAACCAGGCATCCAACAGATGGCAGCAAAAATTTTCATATCTCTCTGCTGGTATCTAGCGGTCATCTAGATCAGAGGGCGCCAAACTTTCAGACCTCAGGGACCACTAAATTCATAATTTTAAATACCCCAGATCACTAATATGGATTTAGAAAAAAAAGATAAATAGTATTTAGTGCAAAAAAAATGCAAATAATTTTTCTGCAGACCACCAAAATTTTCTCGTGGACCACTGGTTGGTTACCGCTGATCTAGATATCAGTAGGCCTATTTCTAATCTCCTTTTTGCTTCTTTATAGGCAGGGCTAGAGAGCTTTCACCCACGGCTGGGATACTGTGTTTTCCCCAAAATAAGACAGGGTCCTATTTTCTTTTGACACCCAAAATAAGCACTTGGCCTTATTTTTGGGGAGGTCTTATTATTTTTGAGGTGTAGGAGGTGGCGAGTGTCATCACCTCATGGCTTCTTCTGTGTTGCAATATTATTGGGGAGGACTTATTTTTGGGGGAGGGCTTATTTTAGCGCATGCGCTCAAAAGCCTGATTGGGCTTATTATCTGGGGAGGTCTTATTTTTAGGGAAACAGGGTAACTCTGTTGAAGGCCTTTAAAAATTTGGGGGAAAGGCTGCCAATTTCCCTGCCCGGCTTTGAGCTCTTTGGAACAAAGTCTAGCTAAGGCCAAAAAATAATGCACATCTTGTCTTTTGTGAAAAAGAAATAAACGTGCATGTATATAAAGGATTGCCCCTTTAAATCCTATCTAGCATCTTTAATTTTTGCCCAAAAGGCAATGGAACTTTTTGTTCTTGCTCATTTTGACACGACCAACCAAAACACCCTTTCTAGTACATATAATTTGATGATTTAATGCCATGGGGGAAGTCCCAGCTTGTCAGAGAGGTAATAGAATAAATTTATGACTATGTAGATAAGTGGGTTGCATCCTGTACTGGAAAAAAAGCTGAAATAACAAGAAGTTGGAAATTCCCAGTCTTCCCATTTCATATCGGCTGTTCCCTAAACAGCCCTATCCTCTGTTTGCTGAAACATCTACTGGAGCCCTGGTGCCACTTGAATCAATAAGCTGTTGCTCCTGCTGAATTAACACACACACACTCTCTCTCTCTCTCTCTCTCACACACACACACACTCACAAAAAAATCAGGAAACCATTGCAAAGGAACAAACTCCAAGAACCATGTTCAGAGATGGTTATGACGTTATCTAGATGGTGATGTCAGTAATGTAGGAGATTGCAAGAGCCCTGGTGATGACGCAGTGCTTAGAAGGCAGTATTGCAGACTGACTCTGCCCACAGCCAGGAGTTCGATTCCGATTGGCTCAAGTTTGACTCAGCCTTCCATCCTTCCGAAGTCAGTAAAATGTGGAGCCAGATTGTTGGGGGCAAGAGGCTGACTCTGTAGACCGCTTAGAGAGGGCTGTAAAGCCCTGGGAAGTGATATATAAATCTAAGTGCTACTGCTAAGTGGGAAGGAAGGAAAGAAGGAAGGCGAAGGAAGAAAGACCCATGGTGGTGCAGTGGCTAGAATGCAGTGTTGCAGGATAACTCTGTTGCCTACCAGCAAATCACTTCCGAACAGCTCAAGGTTGAATCCGCCTTCCATCCTGCCAAGGTCAGTAAAATGAGGACCCAGATTGTTGGGGGCAATGTGCTGACCCTCTAAACCGGCTGTAAAGCACTCTGAAACAGTACATAAGCCTAAGTGCTGTTGCTATTGCGTCACAATCCGGGGGGGGGGAGGGGGCTGTAGAGTAAATCCAAAGTAGTAAATATGTCTAATTAAAGAAGGGACCCTAAAGGACCATTAAGTTCAGAGCTTAGTTATTAACTGCCTTTCCAGTTATGCTCATGCCTTCAAGTTTAGTAAACTACCCTTAAGGTTTCCAAAGTACAATCAGCCATGACACCAAAGTGAAATATTGTGGTGCTGCTTTTTGTTTGTCAGTTTTGGGGGGGATGTAATAATTATTGTTTGTTATAGAATATTGTACATTTTCAGCCATTGTGGATGTATGTGGGACTGTTTACAGCTTAATATGAACCCCAGTGGTGCTTTAGACTACAAGCCACAATTAAGCAAAACTGGGTTACTGAATGCTGCATTTGTGATTGAGATTTGGTTTTGGTTCAAGCATACCCTTACCATAATAATGATGATGATGATTTGGGCAGGAGGGGGAGATCATCTGTAATTACTTGCATATGTGCATCATTCATCTGTTTGGCTTTGCAGGGTTTAGGCTGGTCTTGCATTCATAGAATACACCGTATATAATTATAGATATAGATAATCAGAACTGCAGAAAAAAGAACGAATACCAACCTGCCTTCCATCGAGGACCTGTATACTGCACGAGTCAAAAAGAGGGCTGTGAAAATATGTACAGACCCTTCACATCCTGGACATTAATACCCTATAGGGCACTGCACACCAGGAAAAACTAGATACAAGGACAGGTTTTTCCTGAAAGCCATCACTCTGCTAAACAAAGAATTCCCTCAACACAGTCAAGGGTTGATGGAACTAAGTGTGCACTACTATTAATCTGCTCATCATTCCTATCACCCACCTCCTCCCACTTATGACTGTATGACTGTAACTTTGTTGCTTGTATCCTTACGATTTTTATTGATTGTTTCCTAGTATGATTTGATTGCTTATTTGTACCCTATGACTAAGTGTTGCACCTTATGATTCGTGACAAAAATATCTTTTCTTTTTATGTACACTGAAAGCATCTGCACCAA